TTCTAGTAAAGATTAAAGGAGACAATACATTCCAGGTACCTGACATAACACTGGTACCTATCATGCAGACTAAATCACCATGACTACCGTTAGACATTTTAATGAGAATAATATAGTAAATGAGATTCACTCCCAAGTAATAATAGTCTCCCACAGCACACTGTTTTTTTCTGCTTCAGCCTTTCTGTTTGAATCCTTCTGTGTCATGCAGTGATCAAGGTCCTTTCCTTGCACTGTAGATGTTAGAGAGTACAGTTTTAGTTACCTTTTTGCCTTTCTGCTAGTTTGCAGTTTATGTTGAATAAATACAAAGGGTTAAATTGAGCCTAAATTAGAAGGGATAGCACATAGAAAAAGTTGTTAACACTAAAATTCAATTTTATTTGCACATAGAGCTCATATGTCATCAATATGAGAACAAAGAATGGTCTAGTAGGTAATTCACAACTGTACCATAATAAGTATTCTTTTTATATTTCACATAACTATAATAGTTCTGAAAGTTTGATTTGAGGACACATATATGTTTTTCTTTTCGGCTACATAGGGAACAATGAAATAAAACCTCATTGACGTAATTGAACCTGATAACATCTCCTGGTTGTACTGCTGATGTTTCATTGTGGTAACCGTGGTTTTGTAGAGCTCTGTTAAGCATGCTGGACTTATAAACATATTAAAACAGAAACTTATCAGGATTCAGCTTTTTAACCACAAAGAAAAGCTGAATTTATATAAAGGCACAGTGTTGGGTTAACGTTTATCAAATTAAGTAAAATTTTTTAATAGTATGTGGTTCATATTTGTTAACTTAGAGAAAATGCTATTTTAAAAACTAGCTTTGAACAGTTAACTACAGTATATGAAAATATATAATTTCTGATATTATGTATTTGAGCTTAGAAGAAACCAGATATAATAGTGGGAGATTTTAAAAACAGCAAGTTAAAATTTCATACTTTTATTAGGTAATGCCTTATAAAAAACAGAACCATGCTTTGAAAACATACCAGTCACTGTAACATTTATTGCCTTTCAAAAGTTAGTTCTTTTATTCTTACATTTAAATCAGTTAAAGAACATACTTTAATACTAGGATTGGAGTTTAATACCAAAAATCTTTGCTGATTTGGGGACAATGTATATACAAAGCATATATTGTCTACATTGATATAACACTTTAAGAGCTACATGCAATCATATAATAGGAATGAATTAATGTTTCTGAAACTTTTAATAGCCATGAACTACCCACTAGGTGCTAATGTACATGCTATGCACCTAAAAGTTTTAGTAAAGTGTATAAAAATGATTTAATATTTTTTAAAAAAGAAAAAAAGTACATTTTCAGTGAACATTACAGTATTGAAGGAATCACTAGTGCAACTCAATGATGAGGAAATAGATTATATTTTGTAGGTTCATTTTTATATTCAATAAAGTTCTTTTATTTCTGTTAAATTAACAAAATTTCTGGCAAAATTATAATTTGATAGAAGGCAGCATGTGTTTTAGGATTCATTATGGATACTCAGACTCTACATGGGTCCTAGACTTGGAAAGAGATTTCTCTCAAGATCATTGTCAGGGCTGTGTCAGTTGCTAAGTTAATGAACATTATCACACATAAAAGCTCAAAAAGTAAAAGCTCTTTACATTTTATGTAAGGTTTACTCACTATTACAATTACAATTAAATTTGAACACTAGTAATAACTTCTGAAGTTCTGTGTATGCAACTGCCAGGTCCAGTTTTTTCCTCAGGGATGATCACCACATTGAATGTCTCTATACTTTTCCATATATTGATATTCCTAAAGTGTACGTAAATGTGTATGTTGTTTTCCATGTATGAAATCATAATGCTATTCAGCATTTTTATGGCTCATTCATATAATATGTGACTATACATTCACTTTCATTATTATATTCCATTGTTTGAATATACCAAAATTTCTCAGTTTCATTACATGGATATTTGGGTTGTATCTAGTTTTCTCACTTCCCCAAACAGTGCAGCTGGGTGTATTCATTTTTTTTTGCCTCTTTGTGTCAAGCTACTTAGCAAAAATTCAGACTTCTGGGTTTTCCTCCCCATCTGTTGTGTACTGATACTTATGTAAAACACAATAAAAATAACCTCAACAATTTCAAATTGTTAAACATTCTAAAATTTCTAAACAATCTAAAATTTTTAGACATTCACACTTTATTTCTGAATTTATCTTATTGTGGACCTTACTTTGAATTCCACTGCTCTACGACATACCTGGCTGCCAAATTCCCAGGCCATGAATCTTCTACTTAAACAGAAAATCTTGTTATCTCTAATATTCTAGTTGTTCATATTTTATAGTAGGCAATGTACTAGCAATTTTTGGCTTTCACTTCTGTTTATTTTCATTTCCCAATATGCAGGGAATGTCATACTAAGCTCTGCTGCTTTTAGGTCTTTACCATGTTTACTGCCTTTGGCAAATATTCTGTGATCATAGATACTGAAAATAAATACAAGCTTAAATATAATACCTCCAACAAAGGATTAATATCCAAAATATACAAGGAAGCCATAACCCCCCACACACACACCCCAAAAAAGATGGGCAGAATGGGGCCTCTCTGATGGCACAGCACTATCAAGCTATCACTAGTCACTGGGGCACCAGGGAGCTGATCCACATGGCACAGCAGACCTCTCCTGCCTTGCCAGCTGCCCCCCTCAGCAGTGTATTTCAGTAGATCTGCCTGTCCTGTTCCCTACTCTGTCTCTGGTGAATCCTCTCACCCTGTACCTCTTGCCTATACTCTATTCTTGTATTCATAAATAAATAAAAATAAATCTAATAAAAAAAGGGCAAAAGCTCTGAATAGACACTTATCCAAAGAAGACATACAGATAGACAATACGCACATGAACAGATGCTTATCACATTTTACTAGAGAAATGCAAATCAAAACAATCACTCACACTTGTAAGAATGTCTGTTATCCAAAAGACAAGAAACAACATGAGTCAGAGTGTATGTGATGAGAATGGAATAATTATACATGGTTGGTGGGACTATAAATTGGTACATCCATAACTGAAGGTAGTATGCAGCCTCCTCAAAAAATTAAAAAGAAAAATTCCATACAATCCACTTACCTTACTTCTGAGCATTTACCTGAAAAATACAAAAACAGTAATTCAAAATTATATCTGGACCCTATCGTATTGCAGCACTGGTTACAAAAACCAAGGACTGGAAACAGCCTAAATGCTCAGGACTGACTAATGGATAAAGGTGTGATATATATACACATTGGAATACAATTCCACTATTGAAAAAAAAAAAAAGATGATGAAATCCAGCTCTTTGCAACAACATTAGTGGATGTAGAGGGAATTTGCTTAGTGAATTAAGCTAGACAGAAAAAGATAAAATGTATGATTTCACTCATGTACAGTACATAAACAGATGAACGAAATAAAACAAACTTTCAGACTATAAGAGCAGGGGGTGGTGGGTAAATTGGGACAAAAGGACATTGGTAGTGTGAAGAGCAGAGAACGTAATGTAGCAGACACACATGTGGATCCTCGATAATCCCACCTGAAATTTATGTTGTAAAGCAGTATTACTGGACTTAGAAATAAAATAACTTAAATTTAAGACAGTAAAAAGTATAAACTTGAAAGCATTAATGAAGGTCAACCTGGCAAGTACAAATGAGAGGTAACTATAGCGGGATGAAGGGCTGAGGAGGAGTGGATTCATTAAGGCTATGGTCTGCAATACAGAATGCCACAGCAGAGAAAGCAAGAGAGTAAACGGGTGGGGGATGTGCTTAGAGTTTTAGAGAGCCCTGAGAGTACAGTTTAAAAGGTTGCGCTTGAGTTACCTCCCATGCAAGCGGCAGCCTCCGAGTAAGCAGCATAGGCATGATCTCAGAACACCAGGGAACTTTCTGGGTGTCTGTGTAGGCTCTTACAAGCAAGAAGCAGCATTACTTTATACCAATATCACTCCGCCCCACCCCACCCCACCCTCAGCAGCTTCTTTCACTGCTACTCTCCAATAATCAATCCCTCCTCAGGAATTTTAATACCACAGATTTAGTGTATCTGTTTACATACCTTCACTTTTGGAGGGTCTCATATCATCTTGATAATTTTAAGATTTTTTTGTTTGTTTTGTTTGCTTCCCCTTACCCCCCAAGCACTTTTCACCTTTTTGGGAGTGACAGGACTCTCATTAAGAATACATAACATGCGGTGGCACCTCCCACCGTAGGCACTCAATTTATATCTGTAGAGGAAACCAACCATTTTGGTTTTTTCTTCACTAGTCATTTAGAGGTACTGATTTGCTTTTATTTAAATGGTAGTATACTGAACTACTGCTTCCACTTCGTTCTTTTCACTTAATAAGTTGAAAACTTGTTCCAATCTGATATGTAATAAAGCTGCTTCTTTTAGTGGATGAAAAGTCCCACAGAGAAGCCATAATTTAACGACCCTGTCATGTAAGATGTTTTTTGGTTTCAATATTTTGCTATTATAAAAATACTGCCTAAGAAAATGAACGCAGAAAATGAATATAAAGGCTCTTGTGATTATTTATAAGCACTTTTTTTTTAAATGTTTTTGATAGAAAAACCTTATTGGTAAGGAAAGAGCACCACCTAGTGACACTGGCTTAACAAGACAAGTAAAGATTCTGTGGACAGAGTGTCTTATGTTTCTTGTTTTAGTACCTGAATGTGATGTTCCATGTATACTTATTTTTTTTCCTAATATTTTGAGGATTACTATAGTGTACTTCACTGACTTTATTTTAATTCTGAAAATTTCAGTCAGATTGCAAAATTCATGAAATTGTCTTAATTTTTATTTTCACTTTCTCCACCTCTCTCAGACTTTAACCTATTTTAGATATGTGTAATTTAAAATGCTACACTTAGGTCTTTATATGAACTTACTTATTTCTGGATTATAACTAAGTGTTTTTCTTTTTTCAGATGATTCTTTGGGATTGGGATTTAAAGCAGTGGTATAAGCCTCATCAGGTAAATATAAGTGGTATCACTAATAATTTAGTTTTTGTAATGAAACTTGACATTGAAATTAGTTATATTCATAAAGTTTCTATGCTGTAAGATTATCTTCAGTTTAAATAAAATAACTAGCACTTGATTTAAAAAGATTTTAAGATTTTATATATATAACAGGTGTAAGGAAATGGGGACCGACAACAAGAAAACAAACTCATAGTTACTTTTAAAATGTTACTAGCATAATATGACTCAGAATAAAGTAGTTAATTCTATATTAAGATAAGTTGTTTTGTTTGTTAGGTTGTAAACAGCTGAAACTCAGAAAAAATATATTAACCATATATATAAAATTTGCAACTGGCAAATTATTTTGTTGTGGGGAGGGTAAAAGAACTCTGTTTATAGTTTATATTGACATAAGAGAAGTTTGCAGCTCCATAAATTTTCACAAACTAAACTTCCCATGTAAATTGTATACCTATCAAGAAATAGAGCGTTATCATTATCCTTCATCACCAAAAGCCTCATTTATGTTCCATTCTAGGCCTTTACCTCTATGCTCATAGATAACTCCTCTCCTGATTTCTAGCTGTGAGTTTTGCTTATTTGTTATTATAGACTTAAATTGAATATAATAACATGGAATTTTTAAAAATTATAACTTAAAAAATATATATTTGTCAGGATTGAAAATAGTAATATAGGACAAAATAAACATCACTCAACAATGCCTGTTAATTATGTAAACCTTTGATGTATAACTTTACAGACCTTTTCCCATTGTAGTGAAATGTGCTTGTATATTCTATAAAACTTGTATATTTCATATTTGGAAACTTGATGATATTCACATATTACAGATAATAATTAAGAAATATTAAGTTTGTTTCCTGTATTTACAGAAACATTACCAATTTAGATTCATTTAGTTGTCCCAAATTCACTATTGAAAAATGAGTATTCCTTTAAATGACTAACTTTTATTTTTAAAACTTTATTTTTATTTTAAACTGAGTAGAATAGCCACTATAACCCACAACAATAAACTATTCAATAATGTAACTACTGCAGTTAGGTGAAAGCATGAAGGCTACATCTGTCCTGAAAAGGGTTAGTTCCTTGACCTACACAGTGGATTCTCTCATCAGTCCTATCAACCAAGATCTTCAAGTTTCCACTTAAAATATCTAAATTACTGTTGAAATCTAAAGATAAGTGAGTATTAGTAGTTATGAGTATTTGTAGTCAGATAGACTGGTGTGCACTATCAGGCACTTCTGTTCTTTTTCCTCCACTTTCTTCTCCCTCTCTTCCTCCTCCAATAATCCTTTTTTTAAAAAAAAATTGAAGTGTTACATTGATATTTTAAAATGCACAAGTCATACTTGTACAATTTGATAAATCCTAATAAAATGAATATATACTGGTGACCATCTTTTACATGAGGAATTCAGCACCCTTATGCCCTCTTAAACTCCCCCTCCTGGTTATATTTTTAAGTGTTAGCACAATCTTGCTTTCTGACATTACAGCTCAAGCTTCTTCTGTTTGAATTAATGTCTATTTAATCAATCATGTTTATTTTCTGCTTTACTACTTTCTTTCCAAGTTTTCTGAGATTTATATTATTGCACATAGTAATTTATTCATTCTCATTCTGTTTAATATCTCACCGACTGAATAGGCTGCAATTTATGCATCCTGCAATTTATGCATCCTACCGACAGTAGGTGGACATTTATTTAATTTTCAGCTTTTTGGCTATTTTAAATGATGCTGCTGGAACATTCCTGATTTTGGCTAGGTATATATTTTAGAGTGAATTGCTGGGTCATAGGTTTTATGTGCATATTTTCAGTTTTAGTATACAGTGCCAAATAGTAGTTTATCTCAATTTTTTTTCTTTTATATTTCTTTACTCCTTTATATATATAT